TGGGGGGGGGGGGTGCACCCGCATGTACCCCGGAGGAGGGAACGCCAGCGGTGACGTTCCCCCCCGCCCACGGGTGCGCCGCCCCTCGACCCCGCGCTAATGCGCGGGTAGGTGAGGCGCCGCTCTTTTTCTGCGGCGCCTCACCCCATCCCAGGGGCGGCGGTTTCGCCCTGCCGCACCCTCTCCGACTCCTCCTTCTGTGACACGACTGTGTCACAAAAGGAGGTGACGGTGGACCAGCCCTCGTCTTCCCCAAGCATGGCCCTAATGAGGGCCGTGGGAGAGAGGTCCGCTCCCACCACATCAATTAGGACCCGGCGCTCCACATCCCAGGAGGACCATTCCTCCAGGGTGTGTTGCGCCGAGTCTACCTCAGCACCACAGTGGTGGCAGCGGGAGTTAGGCTCCCTACCGAAGCCATGTCAGGTGAGTACCTGCGTTGTCCGGAAGGACAGCTCTCCGCGGACCCTGTCCACCCATTCTTGTAGACAGGGCCGGATGGCCTCGGCGACCCTCGTTTCTGAGCGGCCCGTCGCCCCCTCCAGGTGGATGCTCCACCTTAGGAGGGGGCGTTGACGGGCCTGCAGTCTTGCTATTCCTATGGCTCTGGCCAGATGTTCGAGGTCTCCCCCGGCACGGAGCTCCTTGACACGCCGATAAGTCTCGGCGTGCATCTGCGCAAGAAGCTCCAGCGGGGGGAGACCAGCCAGGGCCGTGGCGGCCATATGCGACGTCGTCCGATAGGCCCGGGCGAGGCGAATGGCGACCCACCTCTGAGCGCGGTGTGCCAGCGCTATGATGCGCTGGTTGGTCGCCATCGCACTCGCCCAGAGCGGGGCCCCGTATAGCGCCATGGACTGGACGACGCCGGCATACAGCCGCCGTGTCTTCCTTTTAGGGCTGCCGAGGTTGGGCAGGAGGCCACCCAACATATTGGCCACCATGCTCAACTTGGGGGCTAGAAGCTCAAAATGCTTCTGAAACCGCCATGTACTATCCAAGACGAGTTCCAGATATTTTATCGTGGGACTCGTCTTTACGAAGACACCGTCAATCCGGACTCGGGTACCAGGTGGTCCCCTCCTGGAGCCATCATGTATGAACATGAACTCAGATTTGAGGGGAGCCACCTTGAGGCCCATCCTGTTCAGGGAGCCTATCACCTGGTCCATCGCCAGACGTCCCATTTCCAGGGCGTTCCGCCAGCCCCTGCCCCCGGCCAGCACCATGGTGTTGTCCGCGTAACACACGACGGTGCAGCCGGGGGGGAGGGCAAGGCGAAGGACTTGGTCGTACGCGATGTTCCATAATAGGGGTCCTAATACGGATTCCTGAGGAACACCGTCCTTCCGCACTGGAGTTACGCTTTGTTACAAAACTCCAGTCTTCTATCCCGGAAGTAGTCCCTAATAATTGAGACCAGGTGGGGGGAGCCCTGAAATGGGTCAAACCCGCCTCCACCTGGTCCCAAGGGATGGAGTTGAAAGCGTTGGCGATGTCCAAGGACACCGCCAACACAACTCCCCCCCCCCCCACCACGGCCTCCGAGAGGGACCGGACGCGTAGTATCGCGTCCACACTCGACCGTCCCTCCCGGAAGCCGTATTGCTCCGTA